CAAGACAGGTCACTGCAGTTCCCCAGGGCAGGTCATTTTGATTTTTCCATGTTTGCTGAGCCAGCTCTGGGCTGGGAGCAGGGAACAAAGATGGACCTGCCTCAGCCCTGCTCATGTGGCTCCAGTCTGTAGGTCCCTCGTCTCCCTGCCTCACCTGGTTCACTCTATCTTGTCCTTTGAGACTCAGGTCCCAGGTCACCGCCTCCAGGAAGCCTTGCATCTGTGCTTCTCTATGGCCTTGCCCCATGACAGGCAGTGAAATCTTTGCTTAGCTTTGGTCACTGCCATACCTGTCTGGGATCTCCTTTTGGGCACAGGCCCTGTGCAGCATGATGCCAGTGGTAGGATGGGCTCCCATCCCTTTCCTGCCATCTCTGTGGAGACTGTATGCCTCACCTTCTCCTGTGTTAATTCTCTAAGATGAGGGTGAAAACTCCACCCACCTGACAATATTGTGAATAGCAGACGTCGTTGTTATCAGTGCTTGACTTATGTGACCTCATTTAATGGAGCATCGTGGGGCCCAATTTACAGATGAGAAAACTGAGATCCAGGGAGACAGAGTAACTTCCCCTGAGCTGGAATTCTAAACCTAGATGTCTGACTTTAGAGCTTGTGCCATGCCATTCTGCCTGTCTCTACAGAAAGGAAAATGATGAGTAAAAAAGCTCTTAAGGGTACCCAGCCATGGCCGGGTGCAGTGGCTCAAGCCTGTAATCCCAGCACTTTGGGAAGCTGAGGTGGGCGGATCACCTGAGGTCAGGAGTTCGAGACTAGCCTTGCTAACATGGTGAAACCCCGTTTCTACTAAAAACAAAAAATTAGTAGGGCGTGGTGGTGGGTGCCTGAAATTCCAGCTCCTCGGGAGGCTGAGGCAGAAGAACAGCTTGAACCTGGGAGGCAGAGGTTGCAGTGAGCTGAGATCGCGCCATTGCACTCCAGCTTGGGCAACAAGAGTGAAACTCTGTCAAAAAAGAAGAGTACCCAGCCATATAAAAATGCAGAGTATCAATATTGTTCATGCATTTCATGTCAAGTATGCCCTCTTTGTTCCTCATCTCTGAAGAGAATCACTTAGTAACTATTCACTGTGTTCTGTTTTCACAAATGCCCTAGGAGCCAGGGACAGTTCTTGACCTTCTGTATTGAAACCTCAGGACATGTGGTACAGTGCAGACAGCTCTGTTCTCCGTGCATTATCTCCGCCCCAGGTCACTGAGTGAGGAGCTGTGGTGGATAGATCTGCGTGACTCTGAAGAATACCTCTGCACTGGGCCAGCTGAGCCCTCCCTGGCCCCCACCCGCAGCCAACATCCTTCATCAGTGGTGCCGACTGGAGCAGATGCATCGTAGCTCGCAGGCTGCGACTCTGTGGCTGTTGTGGGTGTTGTGGCTGTCTGGCTGGGCTTAGAAGCATCAATCACGGCAATGGACGAGAATGGTGCTTAGCTACAGCCCTCTGTGTCAGGCTCCTGCATGGCAGGAGCCCAGGGGACATCAGAACCCCTGTGGATGACTCACAGACTCTGGGATCTGGAAAATCCTCCGCAAGGTTGCCTCATAACACTGCTGGCTGCCCTAATGTTCAATGTACCATTTAAAAAAACCAAAACATCTCAACAAACCAAACAAGCAAGCAAGCTGCAGCCCTGGCTTTGCTCTGGAGGCCGGGCAGGGGGAGGGATAGCGGGTTCTCAGTTGTTACTCACAGTCTGCGGTGGGCTCAGGCTGTTTCTGCTGGCTTGGTCCTGCTGTCCTGGACCCTGGCATGTGTACAGTAAGCCTGCGGGGGATGCTGCCTGTTAAATTTTGTTTGCCAGCTTCCCGGGTGGTTAATGGTTAGAGGGACCAGTGGCCTTCACCGCTTGGTAGTCCTCTCTCCCGAGCCATTAACCAATGGGAGGCTTCGTCAGGAAAACTGAGTAAACACAGTAATGCTGCAAATTAACTTTGCTCTGTGTTCAATTCTATGAAGTTTTTTTAATACCAAAATGTGGCTGGAGTTGCATCAATGTGGTTGCCCTGTGTCAGTTGGCGGAGACGTCTTAGGTGCCCTTAATTAGCACCAAGGTGCGGATACTTGTAAAAAGAAAAACAGGTGTTTAACTCTAATTGGGGGTGACTTGGGCAAGGTCCTGCCTTCCAGGGGTCTTAGTCTGGTGGGAGAGACAGACATGGAATGATATCTGCCAAGCGCTTCCTCTGTATTATCTCACGAAATCTTCACAATGACTCTGTGAAGTGGGCACCGTTATCTCTCCTCTTTAGATAGGAAACTGAGCTGCATGGAAGTTGAGTGAAGCGCCCTTGAGATTCAAATCCAAGACCATTCAACTCTGAAGTCTAGCACCTTTCCTCTTCCCCACATTTTATTTTTCATTAGTTTTCTTTGGATTACGGGTGACAGACATCGAATTGAACTGCTTTAAAGCAAAAAGGAATGAATGAGAGGTCCAACGGTGGAAAGAACTTGAGACATGGCTGGATCTAGGGAGTTCCAAATCAAGCATCAGATCTCTCCTTCTCTCTCTCTCTCTCTCTCTTTTTTTTTTTTTTTTTTTTTTTTTTTTTTGATTCATTCCTAGCTCTGCTTTCTTCTTCTACTTTATTCTGTCTGTACTGGGGACAGAGGTGACCACTGTAGCTCTAGGTTATTTGGTTCTAACTGGTTAGTTGATATCAGAAGTAGAGAAATTCTCATTTTTCTCAACGTTCGTAACAGTCCCCCCAAAAGTCTACAGCATGGTTGCTCCCCTGTGGACTGATTGACCACAGTGTGGAGAAGGATGAGGCACTGTGAATGCCTCGCTAGAGTCCTTTGCTCTCCGTTGGGTTGACAGCATCATTGCTTCCATCCAGAGATGAGGGAAGCTCTTTCCAGGGGAAAAGAGGAAAGCAGGGCCTACAACTGGGTCTGCAGTTTTGGAGACACCTTAGTTTTGTTGATATTTATTGATCTTTTCAAGTTTCCAATCCTATAAGCCAATTTTGAACTTTATATCTAGGAATTTATCTATTTCATCTAGATTTTCAAATTAAATACTACAGAGTTATTCATTAGGCCTCTCCATTATTATTTTTACATTATTATTTTATATCAGTAATTCTTTTTTCTTTTTTTGTTCTATATTTTATTTATGTCTTTTCTCCCTTTGATAAGTCCTGTTACAGAGATCTAGCCAGCTAATTAATCTTTCCAAAGATCCACCTTCTAGTTTTGTTATTGTTTTTTAAAAAAATTGATATTTCATTGATTTCTGTTTATATCTTTATTTTTTTAATCACCCCTTTAAATTCTCTGGGATTCGGTCTGTTGTACTTTTTTCTATTTTCTTGAGATAAATGCTTAGCTTTCTTACTTTTTAATATTTCCAGTCTCTGCATAAATGTATTTAAAATTAAAAGTTTTCATCTAAATACTGATTGAGCTATGTCCCACAAATTTTTGATAATTACTATTTTCATTGTCTTTTTTTTTCTAAGTATTTTAAAATTTCTTTTCTGGTTTCCTTTAAAACCCAGGTGTAGTTTAGTAATATGTCACTGAGTTTATTTAGAATTTTAGGCTATTCTTTTGTTATTAACTTCCAATTTTATTTCACTGTGGTCAAAGAATATTGTCTATTATGATATTGAACATTTGGAATGTTTTGAGGTTTGTAATAACCGTATATGGCCTTTTGTTTTTTTGAGATGGAGTCTTTCTCTGTCGCCCGGGCTGGAGTGCAGTGGCGCGATCTCGGCTCACTGCAACCTCTGCCTCCTTGGTTCAAGGGATTCCTCTGCCTCAGCCTCCCGAGTAGGTGGGACTGCAGGCACATGCCACCATGCCTGGCTAATTTTTTTTATTTTTAGTAGAGACAGGGTTTCACTGTGTTAGCCAGGATGGTCTCGATCTCCTGACCTTGTGATCTGCCCACCTTGGCCTCCCAAAGTGCCGGGATTACAGGCGTGAGCCACCATGCCCAGTTCATATATGGCCTGTTTTAATAAACATTTCATGTTTTCTTTAAAAAATAATGGATATTAGCTGTTTGATACGTATATGTACACATTCATATATGTATATATGTAATAACTTGAGCTTATTTTATTTAAATCTTCATATGTATGTTGATTATTTACTTAAGCTTTCAGTTTCTCAGTGGGGAATGTTAAAATCAACAATAGCAGTTGTTCACTTATTTCTCTCTGTCAGTTGTTGCTTGATTCACTTCAAGACTGTATATTAAAGCATATATACTTTTGATAATTATATCCTCTTGTTGTATTTATTTTTCTTGTATCTTTTTTCCATATAGCATACTTTTGTCCTAAATTTAATTTTATCCATTGTTATGATTGCTTTCCTTTCTTTTGGTTCACTCTTACCTGATACTTTTCATCCTTTTATTTCCAAACTCTCTGTGCCTTCTTTTTTGATGATATTTCTTTTCTGACGATATTTCTCTGAAGCTAAGAAGGTTTCTGAAGTTTTGTCTGACTTCTCGATACTTACAGTAAAGTGTGAGAGGATATAGATAAGCTTAACATTTTTGTTAAATATAAAAGAGCCGGGGCTTATTGGGTTAAAAATAATATAGTGTCTCCTTCTTAGTCTTTCCAAGATTATCCAATTTAGAAAGAATTTCAAAACAAACATACATCTAGAGTGTAACTGTAAAAGTCTTTATAAATACCTCAGAAAATTCTAAAGTGTTGCCTTAGCAGACCATTGGATCAGATATAAGGTCCTCTAAGGCTATGGATTTTAAGGTTAATGTTCCATACTAGATTTATAAATAGACAAAAATATAGAAAAGTTTATCTTGGAAAGATTGGTGGTTGTGACCTTTATTATAGTGGAGTGGATTATAAATTAATTTATATAAAATTCACAATTTCAAAAAATTAGATTAACTTTGTCTCAAAGGGACAAGACAGTGCAAAATAATGAAAGGCCTTTGAACTTTCAACCTTCTACAGGCAGGAAACAGGATACAGAGGCTCAGCCTCAAACATGAGGTATTTTTATGGAAAAGGAAGCGTGACTCAGGCAGAATCAAGATCTCAAAAGACACAGCAAGGGGCCATGGTGAATTATTCCCAGGAGCAGACTGGAAGTGCCAATTGTGTTAAATTATGTGTGTCTCACCATTTTATATTGTGTGTGGAGAAGTGGGAGGAGAGAACTTGTCTCTTCCGTTCACAGGTCTTCAGATTGAGAGAAGCTACACACTTCAGGAAGGACATTTAAGGACCCTCCTCCGTACCGTGACTGATTTAAATGAGGGCATCTGGATTTGAAGGGGGTGTTGCAGTTGGATGAGACTTTGAGAGTCACAGGGGAGGTGGGTGTATTTTCCATGTGTGAGGGAAAATGAATTGCTGAGCCCATATGGTGAACTGCAGTGTTTTTTCTCCGACATGGCTGTCGTCCTTCCCTCTCTCCCTTTGTGAGCATGCTGCACCACCATCAAGAGACAGAGTCTATTCCTCCCTTCTTGTGAATCTTGGCTTGTCTTACTGGCTTTCTTGATGAATAGAATGTAGAAGTGATGTTCTGGAATTTTCAAGCCTAGTTCATAAGTAATCTCGCAGCTTCTGCCTTGGGCTCTTGGAGCCCTGAGTCACCTTGTAAGATGTACAAGCGCTCTGCTAGGGAGACTGTGTGGAAAAACCCTGAGACAGTATGTGGAGAGATAAAGAACCAGCTGAGTCCTGCCTTCTAGCTATCCCCACCGTTGTGCCACACCTGAGTGCAGCCGTCTTGGATCAGCCCAGCCCAGCCACCTAGTGAATACTTCTGAGTGATCCCAGCTGATGCCGTGTGGAGCAGAAAAAAATAACTCAGGCATGCCCTGCCTGAATTTCTAACCTAAAAACTGTGAGTAATAATAGAGTTGTTTTTGTTCTTTTCTTTGCTTATCTTTGTGGAGATGGTGTCTCACTATGTTGCCCAGGCAGGTCTTGAACTACTGGCCTCAAGTGATCCTCACATGTTGGCCTCCCAAAGTGCTGAGATTTATAGGTGTGAGCCACCTTGCTCAGCCAAGATTGTTCTTTTAATTCATTACATTTTGGAAGAGTTATTATAGAGCAACAGATAACTAAAAATAAATGGCTGGGTCATATATTTAGCTTTAGTAGAGACTGTCAAACAATTTTCTAAAGCGATTGAACCAATTTATATTTCCAAACAATGGTGTATGAGAGGCACAATTGCTCCACATCCTTGCAAATCCTTGGCGTTGTCCGTCTTTTTTGTTTTATTCATTCTGGTGGTTTGTGTAATGGTTTCACATAATAGTTTTATACTGCATTTCTCTGATGACTAATGAAACTGATTACCTTTTAATTTTTTTGTCATTTGGATATCATCTGTTGAGAAGTAACTGTTTAACTTAGATTGAACAGAAGTGCCTGTTTCTGTCAAATTGTCTTTTTCTTATCAATTGGTAAGTTTAACAATCATTTGCCAGATCGATATATTGCAATATAAGTTTGTGACTTACCTTTTCACTCTCTTGATGGAATCTTTTGATGAACATGGTTCATTATTTTAATGAGGTTCAAATCGCCTGTTTATTCTTTTACAGTTAATGTTGCTTATGTTCTGTTTGATAAATCTTTGCCGACCCAAATGTTATGAAACATTCTCTTATGTTTTCTTTGAAATCTTTATTGCTTTATTTTTCACTTTTAGGTTCGTTACACATCTGGATTTGATTTTTGTGTATGGTGTGAGGTAGAGGTCAAATTTATCTTATTTCATATATATGACACCATTTAGTGATGATGAGGATTGTGTTGCTTAAAAATGTCATGTCATAAAAGATAAAATGTGTTACCTCTCAGAGGATACTAAAGAGACATGAGATCAGTAATGGTGTGATTTCGGAGTAGGAGGTGGTCACTCTTGGATAGCATTGGCAAGAAGCTCCTCCCAGGATATGGGTGACCTTCTGAAAGTTCTTGATGACTTACTAAATGCAGAGCTTGGATCCTTAATCGGAGAAAACATGTGCTATGTGTTAAGGACCTTATGGGGACAATTGATGAAGTTGGAATATGGATGGTATATTAGATAAAGGTATCAGTGCTAAATTTCCTCAAGTTGATAGGTTTACTGAAAAGTAATATCTCAAAATCTTAGAAAATATATACTGAAGTATTTAGGGGTAAAGGGATATGATGTATACAATTTATTCTCAAAATATTCTGAAAAAATTATTACAGACACATACATGCATGCATATGTGTGTGTGTGTGTGTGTGTCTTGGGGAAATTGTGTGTGTGTTGTTTGTATTATTTTTATTCTTGCAGCTTTTCTGTAGGTTAGGAATTACTTCCAAATGCAGAGTTAAGGAAAAAGAGAAAAGGTTGAGCTCTGACTCTTGCTCCACCACTGTCAGCAGGTGGTCTTGCGACCTTCCTCTCTGGGGCGTGCTCTCACCTCTGGTGGAGCTACAGATACTCCATGCTTCACAGGGTTGTTGTGAGGGTTGGGTGATGCTTGAGCCTAGCACAGTTTCAAGCACATGTTAAGGCATGAGAATCACTGCTAAGATTGTTATTTTATCTCTTCAGTGACTGGTGCCCACCAAGTACTGGATCCTGCTTGGAAAATGCCAGCCAAGACCTTTTCTTTCATCATCAACCTCTTAGCCCTTTAATAAAGAAGAATCATTTTTTAAAATAAAAGAACACTTTTTATAAGCAACATTGAGCTGTTCCTCACATGTTCCTTGAACCACTGGTCTGTGCCCGCCAGGCCCTGGCTAGTGACTTCAGGTGAATGAGACCTGCTTCCTGCTGACCAGGAGGCTGGCTTGTTCTCTTAAAGGCAGGGCTGCACCTGCTCCAGACATCCTTGCCTGGTTCCCAGGTCAAATGCTGCTGCATCTGGGTCTCATTTGAGAATGACTTGCTGGTCTCTCAGGGGTCACCCCCAATACTGGAGGGAGCATCTTGCTGAAGCCCTCCATGAAGGGCCACCCCTCTGAAATCATACCATCCGTGAATGATCACCCCTCTGAAATCACACCATCCATGAAGGGCCATCCCTCTGAAATCAAACCATCCAGGAATGGCTGCTCCTCTGAAATCAAACCATCCGTGAATGGCCACCCCTCTGAAATCACACCATCCGTGAATGGCCACCCCTCTGAAATCACACCATCCGTGAAGGGCCATCCCTCTGAAATCACACCATCCATGAATGGCCACCCCTCTGAAATCACACCATCCGTGAATGGCTACCTCTCTGAAATCACAGCTGTGCTGCTCTGGGTTCAACTTGCCCAATTCTGCTGAGCACAGAAACTGAGCCGGGAAGGTTGCTCGGGGCAACTGAACTTCCCCAGTCCTCTCTAGGATCTTTTCTGTAGGAGGGAAGGGCCCAGGCCTTGCTTGGCAAGGGACAGGTCATGTGAAGCCAGAAACTACGGTGACCAGAACCTCTAGAATGAGTCTTGCTTGGCAAGGGACAGGTCATGTGAAGCCAGAGACTATGGTGACCAGAACCTCTAGAATGAGTCTTGCTTGGCAAGGGACAGGTCATGTGAAGCCAGAGACTACGGTGATCAGAACCTCTAGAATGAGTCTTGGCTGGACTTTCCAAGCCCCATCTGGTTGTTTATCTGAGGAATCATGAGCTGTGTTGGCAAAGAAGTATGCCACCCAGTACTAGTGGTCAGTGTGGGGGTGGCAGGGGTAGGTTGTGGGTGCTCCAAGGGCCTCTGAGTCCTTTTCCAAGTCATGGACTTCTGAGCTGGACCTGACTGTTGCTGGACCTGGGACTTGGCTTTTGGTTGTGGTGGCCCAAGGAAACTACCTGGATCCCTCTCCTGCCAATCTGCACTTTGGGAGCCACTTGTCCTACCCACAGTCTTTGAGCGATTCTTGGACCAAGCAGGACCCCAAACCCCTCTTGGCCCTCATCCTCTCAGACAGGCAGGAACATAGCCTGGATTTGGCCTTAGTTCCTTTGGGCTACATCTTCACTGATGAGTTGCATACACTGTCTGGGTCCCCCTTCTGCTTTTCTTCTCCTCCCCACCTGCCAGCCCCTGCCCTACTCTGGTCTCCCCGCAGCAAGTAAGCACTGAGCCCAGTGCCTGGAGCCTGGTGCAGGGAGTAGCTGGCATTTTATTGAACCCTCACTGGGTGACAGCTCTTGGAGTGTAGTGTAGACTGATCTACTCCATCCTCAAAAGAACCCTGTGGGTTAGGATTGGGATCACCCAGGGTAGTTTAGCTAGCAAGAACATGGGCTCTGGGTTAAAATCCAGACATTTCGGCAGAGGCTCTGGGTTCAAATTCAGATGTCTCAGTTAACTGTGACATGGCTCAGCCGCATCATCTGAGGGGTGCAAATTCTGGTGCCCAGGTCTCTTCAGGCTGTTGTGCAGATTTGGTGGGGTCATATGTGGCAAGAGCTCAGAGCTGTGCCTGCCATATAGCAGGTGCTATCTGCGTGCTAGAGATTATTGCTGTCCCCATGTGGTAGGTTGGGAAACAGAGAGGGGTAGAAGACTGACCTAAGTCACACTGCCAAGTACAGGAGTCAGAATCTGAACCTAGGCGTCTTAGCTAAAGTCCGTGCTCTTACCATGGAGCTTTTCTGCCTCTGTCTTTGTTCAGCCCTTCCCTGCCTAGTCCCACCTCTGGGCAGTGGTTACAGTATTCCGGGGTCAGTCCTGAGGAATTATTTAGGGCAGACGCTGGGGCCCAGAGGCTAGATCGGGGTGTTGAGTTGGGGTGTGGAGTGTGATGTGAATGCTCCTCATTGGTCCACGTGTGGCCCACGAGTTTAGTAGCCTTAAAAAGCCCCAGAAACGTGGGGTAGGGCAGGCAAGCGCTGCAGGCACCATCTCCCTCAGGAGAAGCTGGGCCAAGTTCCTGCTCTGCCTGCCTGCCGCTCTCTTACTAACTTGCTCTGTGACCTTGAACAAGTTGCTTGACTTCTGTGAGGCTCAGATTCTTTTTTAAAAATCTTTTTTTAATTGATAAATTATAATTGTGTATTTTGGTGGGGTGCAATGTGATGTTATGGTGCGTGTATACAGTGTGGAATGAACAAATCAGGTGAATTAACATATCCTTCACCTCACACGCTTATTTTTGGTGAAGAGAACATTTGAAATTTGCTCTTTTAGCAATTTTGAAATATACAGTACATTATTAACTATAGTCACCTTGTTGTGCAATAGATCTGAAAAACTTATTCCTCCTGGCTAACTGATACTTTGTACCCTTTGACAAACACCTCCCCATCTCCCCGACCTGCCTGCCTCTTGTAACTATCATTCTACTCTCTTCTTCCATGAATTCAATTGTTACAGAGTCCACATGTAAGTGAGATCCTGAAGTATTTGTCCTTCTGACTGAGTCTGACTTACTTCACTTAGCATAATGTTCATCTATGTTGTCCCAAATAATATAATTTTCTTTTTTTAAAGACTGAATATTACTCCATTGTGTTTGTTGTGTGTATGTGTATAGAAACGCTACTGATTTTTGTATGTTGATTTTTATATTCTGCAATTTAACCAAATTTGTTTATTACTTCTAATAGTTTTTTGATGGAATCTAGGCTTTTTTATGTATAAGATCATGCCATCAGCAAACAGAGACAACATACACACACGTCAGATTTTCTTTATTTATTTGTTGATGGATGATTCGGTTGATTCTGTATCTTGGGTATTGTGAACCATGCTGCAATGAACATGAAAGGGAAGGTATCTCTTTGACATATTGATTTCATTTCCTTTGGACAGATATCCAGAAGTGGGATCGCTGGATCATATGGTATTTTTTGTTTGTTTGTTTGTTAGTTTTTTTTTTTTTTTGGAACTTCCACACAGTTTTCTATAGTGGCT